TACATATATTTTATTAATTCTTTAGAGTAATCCTAGGTGAAGTGGGAGGTGCCAAACCAGTTTTATAGATAAAGAATCAGAGACTCCAAAAGGTTGTGTAGCTTTCTAAAAGCCACACTGCTTTTTCATTGTATGTTAGTTTTAAATAGACATATAGACAACGAGAGCTATAAAAATATAGAAGGAAGTAGATAAATGTGATCTGAGCAGCAAAGATTCTTGAAATTTGATACATCAGGAAGGAGTAAAGAGTGGTATTTTAAGAGGAAGAAAAACCATTTCTGTATGGAGCATATTTGAAGGACAATAAAAAAAAAATAAGCCTACCTCATATTATGTTTTCTATCTCTTTAAGCTTCTTCATAATAAGAATCCATCTTTTATGCCTTCTCTAATTTTTAAAGTTGTATAGCTAATCTGCTTTGCATTTAAGACCCAAGAATAGTTCCTGTAAGTTCTTTCAGTAAGATCAACTTATGACCTTTGTTACTGCCTAAATATACCTATTTCTCTTAAGTCATAGGTTTTGTCATTTCATTCAAAGGTGTCACTGTAAATTTCAAAAATATAGGAATCAAAAACATGTTTTGGCCATCATTGTATCCTCTATCTAGCACTTCACATGCTGTCTTCACATATTTGCTAAACGACTTCTCCAAGTGGTAGCTTTGTCTTAATGATATCATGTGCTTCTAAATGTTCTGATGCAGAGGAATTCACTTAACTATTACTTATTTCATATGCCCTAATACTTGTTCCTCTGCCAGTTATTCTCAGCAGATTTAGATTCATTTAGCAAATATTTATTTATTGCACACTGATTATATATGCCAGACTCTGTCCTAGTTATTAGGGATATAGCAAAATAAACACAATAGTTAAAAACCTCTGTCCAATGAGTTGTACATTCTAGTAGACTGGCTAGAAAGATTCCTTGCATCATTGTCATGGTTATTTCTCATCCTGTAACTTCTTCTTTTTACATGACTAGGTGTTTTTCTTACAGAACAAGTTGATAATTTAGAAGTATTGTAGCTGTCATGCCTGTGCTATTAAGTAATGCCACATTTCTCAATCAAAACAGTCTCTATTAGGCAACTCCAAATATTCCAGAAGCATTCTCTGAGGAAGAACAAACATTCAGATTGCAAAATAGTTTTTCAAAAACTCAAAGAAGTAAAAAGTTTGATCAGAATTCACTTATGTCAAATTGAGAATTTGTATTTATTATTAAAATATGCCATGTATTTTAGTCTAGTCTAGCTTTTGTCTATCTGGCTATTTCTCTTAATTGCTCAGTTAATAATCCTATCTACATGGATTATTATTTTTAAAATATGAGGGAATATAATTTAGACCATTGAAAGATTATGGAGATGCTTAATGTCGGCCAACATTTCTCAGATGTTTACCATAAGCAGGCATTGTGCTCACTTCACAGGCATTTGCGTGTACCCATAAGCCTATGATATAGTTTCTGTTATCCCCAGTACGTAGATGATGAAACCGGGGCTTTCGTGAGGCTGAGTTACATGGCTGATGCTTGTGAAATTTGACCAAAGAGTCAGAGGCCAGTGCCTGCACTCCTAACCACTTAACTATGCAGCCTCAAGAATTTGAACATTACTTGGTCTGATAATTTTTAAATCACTGTAGAGTTTTCAGTGCTTCAGGATCATGAATTAATCATAACAGGTAACTTGACCCTTAAAATAAAAGTCATCATTTAAGCATTGTGGTTGTTTGGTATAGTGCCACTCCTTTTGGTTATTTTTATGACTTCATACATTTGATAAAATACTTCCAGGTACTAATTAGTGTTTTCCTCTCTTCCTCTTTGACAGCATTGGATTCAAAGGCTAACAATTTGTCCAGTCTGTCTAAGAAATACCGCCAAGATGCGAAGTACTTGAACATGCGGTCCACTTACGCCAAACTCGCAGCTGTGGCCGTGTTTTTCATCATGTTGATAGTGTATGTGCGGTTCTGGTGGCTGTGAAGTAGTGAAGCGGTCACTGGCAAGGGAGAGCCTAGACCCCGGCAGTTGTGTGTTTTCAGGAAGCTGAGCTCACAGAGATGTGTGTTAGAATCCAAGCGGGACTTCTGCCTTTAAGGACTTTGCAAGAAAAGACAAATCCTGAAAATGAAAGGTTACACCTCACTGGATGAAGCTTAACCCCATGTGGAAAGTCTCTTTTGGGGGCAGAGGCTTTCTCAGGGTGCTAAGCTGTCTATGTTAGGGAACAGTAGATTGTTTTATTTTGGGTATTTTTTTCCCCTCCCGGTGGTTTTACATTTTTAAGACAGCACTGATTGGGGCATTTATTCTTTAACGGAGCTATCAGTGAGATTTAACTAAACCAACCTGTGCTAGCAACAGGCTGAAATTCCTTCAGAGAAGGCAGTCCTCTGGGAAGTGTTTTGACTCTATCTGATCGACATTCCTTTTGTTGGTGACATTTGTGATTTTCAGTAATCTGAGTTTTTGATGGCCTTTTAAATAAGACTCCAGTGTGTGAAGGTTAATTGCTGTGCAGCAAAGATCTTGTCTGTTGGCCCCTGTAGGAAGTTAACCTTTGTTATTTTCCTTTTATATTTTGCTTATTGCACAATTGCTTTAGGGTTCAACAAATTATATTAAGATGCCTTGAAATTCTATTATAGCACTCCTTGATTAAGAAGCTAAAATGTTTTCTGTCATTTATTCCTTTAAGAAAATTTAAATTAGTTTGGGACATGCTTAATTTTATTTTGCAACATCTGTTTTATATGAAGAGTGAGGATAGCGTACCTGTAGCCAGAGGCCCCTGACTATAGCTTTGTCCTGCCCCGTTCTCATTGTCTCCACTAGTCTCCCCCACTCTCTCCCTCTTGTCACTGTTTGCTGACATTTAAAAAGTTATTCTGTGCCCAATAGTTTCATGTCCCATAGGCATCTTCTCAGGACAGTCTCAAATTTCAAAATGGAGAATGTTCAGCTGTGTGGTTAATTAAATTTAAAGTATTGCTGAGTGGCTACTCAAACTACTAAACACATTTATCTGAGAAAGTCTGAGGGCACCTCACACCTGCTTAAGTTTATATAAATCCTCTGAGAATGACCTAGAGCTCGGCCACTCATTTATAGTGTCTTCTAGTAACAAAAGAACATACAATTTTTCCCCTTTTTGCTCAGGGATAATGGGGATTTTCTTTTACCTTCTGAGATTGAATTTTCTAAATGGGAGAATAGGTCTTTTAATTATTGTCACAAGGGCCTGCAATATAACCTATTACTCCTACAAATATTTCTTTAAATTGTAGAGGAAAATGAGCCATCTTCTTACCTCTTAACATCTTCGGAAAGAATTTTAACCCAGTGAGCAATTTTATAACTGTGGGCTTGTTTTATAACTGTGGGCTCATCAAAGCTACTGTCTTGATTTCTGATAGAGGAATTCTTTTTCCTTATGACAGGCGAGGAGAAATGCTTATTTTACTCCTGATAACTTACAGAACTATAATAATTTTTTTTTTCCATTTTGGACCTACATCTGCCAATCGGAGTTTTGTGCATGAAATACGGAGTTACTTTTTATAGAGAATAAGTGCTTTTAAGTCTCCAAAGGGCTCGTCCCTCAGTAATGATGTTGGTAATAAAGCCTGTGAAAGGCTGGAAACTAAGTAGAGGCACCAGAGCATTTGGTGCTTCTGTAGCAATGGAGAGTGGCAGCTCGCTGTTGAGAGTTGCATGCTGTAACCAAATGGTCAGCAGTGAAATAAATACTTCTAGAATGTTCCCTTCAGTGTGAAGTGTTGTTATCTAGTTTATTTATGTCCCTATACCCCTCTAGCTATTTTTCTACATAAACTCAGTGGGTTAAAAATGACAAGGGATTATGGAATGACAAAGGAATAAGAAAATGGTTTAAGATTATGATGGTAGAAAAAGAACAAGACTGTCATAATATGGCTCTTACTTCTGCTCTTTATTAGAGGTGGTGGGAAGGGAAGATCTGACTAGATGAAATGTATCAGCAACCAAACAGCCTTCTAGAAGAGAATGTGTAATTAGTGTGCAGTGTTATGGGGGCCACACTGAGAATAGATACCCAATTTACTAGGGAAAGGAGTGTAGTAAGAAAAGGAGAATGGGGTATTCTAGACAGAGGCAATGGCTTATACAGAGTCATGAGTTAAAAAAAAAAAAAAAATAAGGCACATTTTGGGGATTGTAATTAGTTTGGTTCCATGGACCTGGTAGGGTAAGTGTAAGCAATGAGGACTTAAGGATGAAGAGCTAGACTGGCCCACTGTCATAAAGGGGCAAGAGATGGCATCAGGTTTGTAGTTTCAAATGACCATTCTGGCCATAGTGTAAAAGATATATCAGAGGGATAAGCCTAAAACTAGGAAGATGAAACTAAGGCGCCACCCAAGTTGGAATGAGACCTAGGAGACACATTTTAAATGATTTTCAAGAAAGGAGTTATCCCAGGTACCAAAGGATAACTCATATTTACATAATGCTTTCTTAGTTGGGAGCGCATTGAATTCTCCCATTGACATTTTGAAGTAAGTTCTGTTCACACAACATGAATAAAGACACTTTTTACTAAGGATACCACTCTGAGGCATAGAGAGTTAATTTGTACAAAACTGGAGCGCTAGATAGTGATGGGGCAAAGCTTTGGAAGAGCATGAGGTTGAACCCAGTTAAAAACCTTGGACATGCAGGAAGTGGAAGTCAAAGGTAAGTACTCAGAAATCTTGAAAACTGTCCAGCTCTGGTGAATCGGAAGAATTCTGTAGTTTGAACTAACTTTGTGGATGAGATGCATTCTTGAAAGGTGGTATACTAAAAAAAAATTCTATCGATATTTTTCTGTAGTACATTTGGGATCTGGTTGTACAGAAAAAAATTTTGGCCCTAGCTGGTTTGGCTCAATGGATAGAGCATTGGCCTGTGGACTGAAGGGTCTCTGGTTCAATTCCAGTCAAGGGCACATGCCACATTGTTGGCTCAATCCCCATAGTGGGGCATGCAGGAGGCAGTGGTCAATGATTCTCTCTCATTGTTGATGTTTCTCTTTCCTTCTCCCTTCCTCTATGAAGTCAATAAAACTGTATTTTTAAAAAAATGTTTGTCTCAGTTCCACAAAATCACATTTAAGGATCTTTTATATTTTCTACTTTTATCAGTAGGACATCTAGCAAAAACAAGTTAAGACAAATGGATAATTCTGCATCCACAGTATTTAATAATAAATGCATAAGAAAACATCTCGTAATTTAATTTCCCATCCCACTGTGAGTTTTCATGACTAAAGACTCACTTCTTTTATCCCTTTGCATTTTACATAATTTCCCTAGATGCTGTTTCTACTGAGGAGTCAATGTAATCCTTCAACTTTGCTCTATAAGCAAAAGCTTCAAAATTAACTGTTATAGCCCGGTGGGCATGGCTCAATAGTTGAGCATCGAATTATGAGGTCACAGTTCAGTTCCAGGTCAGGGCATAAGCCTGGGTTGTGGGCTCGATCCCCAATAGAGGTGTGCAGGAGATCAATGATTCTCATCATTGATGTTTCCATCTCTCCTATCCTCTTTGAAATCATTAAAAATACATTTTTTTAAAAATCAGCTGTTATTTATTTTTAGACCTTCATTCATCTAACCTTATCTTATTAATGCAGATATGCCTCTGCTTTAAGGAGTCCCTTTTTAAAAAATAAAATTCAAACATTACAAGAAGTCTTTAAGAATAAGTTCCATTAGCTTGCCTTTGTAATTATACTTCAGCTCTTACTTGTATTGTTGGTAACTCTGAAGTATACCTGTCTACCCTTGAGATTCAGACCCAGACTTGTTGCTGCTTATTGGAGAGTTGTGTTGTAATATTCCACAAATAGTAATTGCATCTAAGGCATTTTATTACCTCCACTTCAGTATCAAAGGAAAAAACCTTACTTGTGCTTCCTACTATTGGTCTTTTTTTTTTTTTTTTTTTTTTTTTTTTTTTTTTTAGCATCACCCGCCACCCCTTTACTTGAGCAAATCATGAACTGCATTTGATGCCGGTGGTTTTGCTTTCTACCTCTAACTGTTAAAAAAAAAAAAAAAAAAAAAAAAAAAAAAAAGTTTTTTTTAATAACCACCAAAATGTTTCATGTCACTTCCTTCACTTGGCCTTAGATTCAAGCTCTCATTAACTTTAACTTGGACTCATGCAGTAGTCTCCTTACTCCTTTCCTTACACAGGACCCTTTTTCAACCCGGTGCTGCCATGTGAGTAACAGAAATTTTCTTAAAAAGTTCATCACACCCTGTTTTCTATAGAATAAAAGGTCATGTACTCCAGGCTGCCTCCTACAAGCTGACTGCTTTGTACCACTCCCGACTCACCTGCCACTCCCACCACCTCTGTTGTTTGAGCCTGACCACATTCTCAGTTCTAAGCACTTTACCATGTGCCTTAGCTCAGTGGTACCTTCTCTCTAGAACAGTAGCCAGCAAACTCATTAGTAAACAGAGCGGCAAACCGCTGCCCCCTGTGGCTCTCGAGCCGCAGTTTGCCGACTACTGCTCTAGAACATCCTTTCTATAAACCTTACCCCAAAGCTTTTTCCTTTCAATCTATTAAAGCTCTGCTTATCATTCAAAGATCCAGCTCTGATATCTCCCTTAGAAAGCCTTTCTAAGGTTCTCACCTGCCTCCTCCCACCAACCTGGGGGGATTACAGTTTCATCTTCTCATAGCAAACCTACCAATTTCAAAGAACAGTCATTGTGTGCTTGTTTGTCTCCTGGGCTGTGTAGACCATGTGAGGTCCCTGAGGTACAGACCAATTGTTATTCGAGGTTTGAAATCTTTGCCACTCAGAGCAATGGCTGATGTTAGAGGTACTCAGCAATATTTGCAGAATGAGTGCATTGTCTTTAAAAAGTTTTCTGGAACTGGGCTGTTCTTAAGTCATGGATATGCATGTAATTTAAATAAAAGAAGAAAACGGGGGGGGGGGGGGGGGGGGGGAATGGCATAGGCCTAATAAGAGAATGGGGAAGAGAAGACACACTAAAGAAGTCCCAAGAGAGGACCAACAGGAAGATTCTATAAATAGTGAACCCACTGGAGAAGAAGAAAATAATATAGAAAATAAAATCAGTTCTTTAGGCAGAAACAATTGAAAGGTAAGAGGAAGGGAGTTCAGGCATGGAGGCAAATTAGACATGAAAACCCCAAGTCAAACAGACCAGCAGTGTCTGGTTGACCACGGAGCCATCATGCCTGTGGTTGCTTTTCTGTTGTGTGGATAGCAGCAATTAAGCTTTTCATGACTCTTAACTCCTTACCAATTTGTCATCTAAAAGAGTAACTCCAATGATAAATACATTGACTAACAATGCCCTATAAAGGAAGCCATACTTTATCATGCTAAAGTCACAAAGCTGGTGCAAGGTTTGGTTTTGACCAGCTGGTGGCAGTTTGCACCTGCCAAACTTCTCCCGGTGGTTCCCTTGCAAATAGTGCAAGTGGGCAATGAGGTGTTTTGGGCTCAGCACACAAGGGAAGATGGAAGAGCATGTTAATTTGTATGCCTTTTGTTTGACCATTTCATTAATATGCAGAATGTGTTTATTTGAACACTTAGAACTGTAAAATAAAAGCACTTTAACCTTCAAATTGGTTTTTCTTGATTTTTTTCATCTTTACACTCTACTTTTTCTTCCGTCTTCCTCAAACTCAATTTTCCCCAGTAACAGAGTTGTGACTTATTATTATAAAATTCTACATGCCAAAGAATCTTAAAAAAAAAAAAAAAAAAAAATATATATATATATATATATATATATATATATTTTTTTTTTTTTTTTTTTAAATAGTCATGGGGTGTAAAGTACAGCATAGGGAATATATTCAATAACTATGTAATAACTATGTATGGTGCCAGATGAGTACTAGACTGAATGTGATGACCACTTCATAATTCATATAACTCTAATCACTATGTTGTACACCTGAAACTAATATAATATTGTATGGTAACTGTAAGTGAAAAATAAAAAACAACAAAATGCTAAAGAACTTCTATGCAAAAGTTTAAGAAGTTCTGCTACCATCAGCCATGTGCTTGTGAGATTTCAGATATTTTTCCTACAATAACAGTATAGCCTTGCTAGAATCCTATACAAAGAAGCGTATCTACTTTCACCAATGAGGTGAATGCTGTGGGACATGCTGATGAGGGACAGAGATTCACGGAAAACACTGACAAATTACTGACATCACACATGCAGCAGTGTCCATAGAGGTGAAAGGGCAGAAAACACTGAAGCAGGAAGTCAAGAGTTTTGGCTTCCAGACCCAGCTCTCCCTCTGCCCCGGTAGGACTTTAGGTAAGTTAATTGGGCTGTAGTTTTCCATGTTTGAAAACAGGAGTGATATCTGCTCTGTCTGCTTCACTTGGACGACTGGAGGATAAGAGCAAGTAAAAAAATGCAATAATGTGTGTCAGGGTTTATGAACTTTGAAGTTATTATTATTATTATTATTTTATACTATTACTACTGCTACTACTACTATTCTAACTTCAAGGAAACATTTGTCACCAGTGCAATCTTTCTGTTCCTCTGGAAACTGACAACCCAGTTGCATAATTATTTTACTCTTGATGGAGCTGTATTCTGGTCTGTTTATACTGCAGTAATTAGGGTCCCTTAGCACCATCCATTTCTCAGGTCATGACTTAATGTTTCCAGAAGAGGGAAGCAAAACTCCAACTCAGAAGCTCTTTGTCCCATCCTCAGAGGGTCTAACCTTAGTGTTTCCTTAGAGGAAAATAACTATATTGCAGAGAGAACACCCTTTATTTTTCACTCTTAATTCTTTAAAAAAAAAAATTCAATTACAGCTTTCATTCAATATCATGTATTAATTTCATGGATACAGCATAGTAGTTAGACAATAATATACTTTACAAAGTGTTCCCCCCAATATTTCCAGGACCCAACTGGCACCATACATAGTTATTTACAATACTAGTGGCCCAGTGCATGGATTCGTGCACATTGAAAGGAAATTAATTAGAAGAAATATTTTAATATCACTATTTGCCCTTTATAACAGAAGTGTCAGGTGAAAATTAGTAAAATGTATATGAAAATAACATAAATTGATTAATAAACAATAACACGAGAGAAACACCAATTTGTTGTTCCACTTATTTATGCATTCATTGGTTGATTCTTGTATGTGCCCTGATCAGAGACTGAACCCACAACCTTGGCATATCAGGACAATGCTCTCTAACCAACTGAGCTACCCAGTCAGGGCCTCTTATGCTTTTGTACTGTGCAAGAATACCAGCGGCTAACATCTGAACTGTTTCAATAGCATATGAAGCACTCTCATACACATTTCAAGTGAGGTTGACAGCCACTATCCCCATCTTACAGACAAATTTCCTCATCTGTGATCAGAATAGCTGTTCTTTGCTTAAAGAGAAAAGTGCAGGGAGCTACCCCCTATGTCAAGAGAATCTCCGGGGGTTGGTACTTGTCCTCTCTTAATAAATGACAAAAGAGCCAATTCTGAATTTGATGCTTTTTCTGTCTGCTTTCACTACAATCAGAGATGGGGTAGGAGGGAATTCCATTACAGTTTTTCCTTTCTACATATGTCACTTCATTTCTGGCTCAGCTCATTTGGAAAAAAAAGAAAAAAAAAAAAGACTGTTTCCCATTCCACCCCCCTTACCGCCACCCCCAGCCAGAGTCATCTTTCCATTCCAGCCAAACCTCTTCCTGTTCTTAAGAATTGCATCACATTCTTGGCGCAATGTAGACCAACGCCCCCACATTGGCACCGGGGAGTGTGCGGGACTTTATTGGTTGAAAGTTCCTGTCTAGTGAGCAGAGAGCAAGTCACTCACTTCTGGACTTCCAGCTCTGGCTGAATCTGTCACTGGAAAAAATATATATTGGATATTTGTTTGTTTGTTTGTTTGTTTGTTTGTAAATCCCCTTCACTTTAATTTGGCAGTTAAAAAGCAGTCACGGGGCTGTAAAGCACACCATAGAGAATATAATAAAAATATTATGATAACTATGGATGGTGTCAGTTGGGTACTGGAAATATTAAGATCACTGTGTAAAGTATATTATTATCTAACCTGTACACCTGAAACCAATACAAAATAAAGTTGAAAGGAAAATAAAGAAAAACCCATCCACTTTAGCCCAATGCTGGAATGGGCAAGACTTTACAAAGTAGGAACAGTTGAAGGAGAGGAATGAGCTGTCTACCCTTGCTGTTTCTAATTCTTCGCTTTCTCTTTTCAACATGGTTTAATCTGCAATTGGCTCCCACTGTGTTGGAGGGGCTTTTGTTAAGGACAGTAATGCTCCCTGTGTCACTAACTGCGATGGACACATCCGTCTTTATCTTACTTGACTCTAAGTATCTGACACTATTGACCTCCTTGAAAGACCTACAGTCTTCCTTTGGTTTCGATGCGCTATTTTTTTCCTGCCTTCGTCATTCTTTCAAGCTCCTCCTTCTCCGTGAACTTCTTAAGGGTTGGCATTCCTGACCTGCATCAGTGTCCTTTCTTTCTATGCATTCTCTGAGAAATCTCATCCCCTTCTAGGACTGGTTGAGGTCTGTATGCCAATGACTTCTAGATCTCTACCTCCCTTGAACTTGACACATTCAATAGCCTTCTAGAACTTCTCCAATTGGAAATTGCTAAAACCATATTCATTCACTCAAACTATCTCTCCAATGCTCCTTATCCAAATATATGCCACAACACCCCTCAGTCTGCAGTCCAACACTAACCACTGAGCCAAACCAGTCATTGCCCGGTATTCTTATTTTTAATTAACTCTTTTTAAATTGGTAAGCATGCTTTTGAATGAAATGTATTGGGGTAACATTGGTTAATAGCGTTGTATACATTTCAGGTGTACAACTTTATAATACAACATCTGCATATACTCTATTGTCTGCTCTCAACCTGAAGTCTAGTCTCCTCCCATCACCACATATTTGACGCCCCTTTACCCTCTTTGTTCTCTCCCCGACCCTCTTGAATTCAATTAATTATTGAATTAACCTTATCTCATCCTATATATTAGTTCTTACTTCTTTGAAAAATATACTCAAGGGTATGTTCTAATGAAAATGTATTTGAATGAATTGACTTAGGCCAGGATTGACTTTAACCAGGGCCGAATGGGAGCTGGAACATACTTTTCAAATTACTGGAATGTTTTCTTGATTGTTATTCCTCATGACATTTTATCTTTGGAATTTTTTTTCTCCTTTCCAGCTGGCTCCTACCACTTTCCTTTCTTACCTCTCCCACCCTTCCCCCTCTGGTTGGCCTATGCGTGCCCCTCCGTGGATCCAGCGTGCACACTGTGGTGGCTGCCGTGGGGCCGCAGCTAAACAGAACAGCTCAGGCTGCAACAGGAAAGCGCTGAATCGAAAGCAAAGGGGAGGAAGCACAAACCCATACCCACCACAAAGCTGCTGAGTGCCCAGCGTGGCCCACGCCGCATTCTCTGATGAGGAGCCTTGTGAAGGAGGCAGAAGCCACAGGCTTTCATAAATCATCAGCACAGCCTGCTCTCCACTTCCCCTGAGCCAGCCTTCCTGGGTCACCATGAACTACCAAGTGCTGGACTCAAAAGAGGGGTGATGACAGGAAAAGCCACCAGAGGAGTAAAGTTTGGGAAAAAGGCTACTGACCGTGGAATGACCGTGGACCATTCATCTCAAACTCCCCACCTGGTCCAGCTCCACGAACAGGAAGATCCTGGGCTTGAGAGTGTTTCTAAGAGCTCCCTTCCTGGGGTGATCCCTAGGTGAAGGCTCCCCCATTCCCTGAAGATACCTTTGCTACCTGCCTGACAGGCTGCTTCTAGCAGTGCCCCAAACTTTTTAATGTTATAACTGCAGATAAAGGCCCTGTGAGATACAAGAGAACTTTATAGTCACATTTCACATTAAGCTACAAATGAGTGTTTTCTGATTCTTTTCCCGACTTTAGTGGAGGGAGAAGGAGTAAGGAAAGAGAAGGGAGCATCACAGATATATTTCCCCTACTTTGTCATTTTGCCCTGACCTCCCCTGACTCCTTACATTTGTTATCAAAGGAGCTACTAATTCTCCAGCAGCCTGGGTTACAGAGAAGGGATGGAAAGTGTGGGAAAACATGTAGGAACTCTGTCTAGATGTTAAGCACTGGCTCATCGCCTCAAAGTCCGAGGAGGTGAGCGCTGGGCCTGCTTTTGCAGCTGGAGGTGCAGAGCACCGAGAGCAGGGGTGCCATCGGGTCGGAGGAAAGGCTGCTGTGCTTGGCTGCAAGTGGGCACTTGTGTCTTCACACAGTGCCAGGCCCACACTTCAGATAACAGAACAGGAAGTACGGTTGGTGCAGCTGGGAGGGGAGAGAGAACAAACTGTACCCAGGACCATTCGGTTACTCCTCGGCCTCTTTGCCTCTTTTCTATCCTCTACGTGACCTGGGTGACTTTGAGAAGCACTGGGAAGCAGGTGGCGCCTGCAGCATCCTCACTCATTCCTGTCCAGGTCAACTTCTTGCGATTCTTCAATTCAGGACATCTTTCAAGATGTAGATCATCGTTCATGAGGTTGAAAGGGAGGAATTATAGATGCAATGAGAGGCAGTGAGGGAAACAATTCTGGAGAGAGGGACCTTCTCTCACAAGGCCAGAGTTGCTCATCCTAAAAGTGTGGCCTCTGTTTTGCAACCTCAACAGCAGCAAGTTGGAAGGGATCCTAATAAAGGGGTTTGTGGTCAGATGACTTTGCTTTGAAAGAACCCTTCTGCCCTTCCTCTTGACCTCCCATCTCTTCCTTTCTTCTTTCCCGTCTTCCCTTCAGAGAGAAAGGGAAGGGGAAAGTAGCCATGGAACGGAAAGCTCCTTGGAGCTCCAAGGGGTGCTACAAGCTTCCCAAGCCTGATTGCCTGCCTCGGGCTTGCCCACTTGCTTCAGAGGTCAAGGGCATCCTTCTTGTTAGACCCTCACGCTGTGTTTAATACTCACACATGGTCCAAGCTGCAGGAGCTTGAGGCGTGCTCGCCAGGTGCGGCCTTTCACCTTGTGACCTGCCTTTGTACATTGCATTCCTTAGACAAGAAAGTAAGAATATGAGTGCAAAGAGGGGAGGACAGGGAGTGTGAATACTTTTTGAAAAAGGTTCCTTATGGGAAAAGAGACAGGTTGGCTGGAGGGCAAGTGGAGTACAGAACAGGTTTCTTTTGGTTAAACGGGAGAGAGGTTTAGGTGTGTTTATACACTTGAGGAGAAAGTGGTAAGAGAGCTCTTAAGCAAATTACTTCATTCCTAAGCTTTTATTTTTCTCATGAGAGGGGAGGTTTTTGTAGAGATTAAAATGAAATGAAAAGCAAATGCATGGTGGTGGCTTGTGCACTTTCAAAACCTTCACACATGTTAGTTATTATAACCATCATCAGCTACTGACTGTACAGATGAGTAAGCCCTGGTCACAGCTCTTCCGTCTGTCTCTCCTCCCGCCTGTGAGAGGAAGAGACAGACTCTCAAGTTGCAAGGAAGAGGCTACCAGTGGTGTGATTTGCATTTTGCCAGGCTTTAACCTTTGGGGGATGATGTGTGCGTGTGCGAAATGAGTTACCATTGTATTCTTCAACTTAATGGTATTCTTATTTTAAAATTGTTATGTAAGCCATAGCCAATGTGGCTCATTGACTGGGGAATTGTCCTATGTACCCAAGGCTGTGGGTTTGATTCCCAGTCAGGGCACATACTTGGTTTCCGGGTTGGATCCTTCGGTCAGTGGTGCACATGTGGGAGGCAACCAATCAATGTTTCTCTCTCTATATATATATATACCCTGCTTCTCCTCTAAAATCAATTTTTAAAAATAGGCACATTTCAGATCCAACATCTCTTTTAAAAGTTCTAATTTAGGGAAAACATTTTTTAGAAATTAAACATACCCTTCTCAAGGTGCAAGGGGCTGTACAAATAAGATTATGCACATGGATTTCTGCTTAGACAAAGGAGCACTGTCCTGGAAATTACCTAACGCTAATCCACAGCTCTGTCTGTAGGAAAGGTTAGCCTTTTATTTATTTTTTCTGGCTATTTTCAGAATCATATTATAGTTTTGCTCGGCTGCAGATTTGGTGATAGCAGTGATGTTTGCTTTTCCCAATTGGCGACAGTGTTCATCTACTTTTACCAAATAATACCTATCTGCTCTACACAGCATTATACACTCAAGGAATCAGTGAAGTCTGTATCCTCATAATTATTTGTTTTTCAGTTTGGCTTTGAACCCACCTGGCCCCCATTCCCACAAAGTTGGCAGTAAATACATTCTGCAAATCCCCACTCCCACATTTCCTCCCCCTTTCCCACCTGGCTGTCCAATCTTGAAATGACTTATGCCTTCATTTCTGAGTGCCTCTCTTCATCTATCCCTTATCATTCTTTCTCCATCCCTTATTCCATCCTCCTCTTCCCCTGGCTCCTTTCAGCCGCCAGCTTTTATTACTGGCGACCCTTAAGGCAATTCTCAGCATGCTCCTCCATGCATCACAGGAACACATTTTTTGAGGGAACTGAAGGGAACAATCTGGTATGTGTTTTCTCCCAATAGTGAGCAAGAAGCCACTTAAAAAATAGCTAGATGGAGATATAACTTATATACTGTAAACTTTACATCTTTAAAGTGTACAATTAAGTGATTTTTATATAGAGAGTTGTGCGTCCATCACCTTAATTAATTTTAGAGCATTTTCATTATCCCAAAGTAACTGTACCCATTAACAGTCACCGTTTCCACTCCCCACTTCACTCCTTTGCTCCCCCTGATTCTAGGCAACCACTAATCTACTTTCTGTGTCTATGGACCTGCCTATTCTAAACATTTTGTATAAGTGAAGTCACATAAAAAGTGGTCTTCTCTGACTGGCTTCTTTCACCTAGCATAATGCTTTTAAGGTTCAACCATATTGTAGCAAGTTCCTTTTCATTGCCAAACACTATTCCATTGCATAGCTACATCACATTTTGTTTATTTATTCATCAGTTGATAGACATTTAGTTTGTTTATGGTACATTTTGAGTCTACAAATAAAGCTGCTATGAACATTCACATACAATATTTTGTGTGGACATATTTTTGGTAGGTCATATGGTAACTATTTTTAACATTTAGAGGGACTGCCAAGCTGCTTTCAAAAGTGGCTGCACCATTTTACTTTTCCATCAACAATATATGAGAGTTCTAATTTCTCTACATCCTCACCAAATTTGTTATTGCTTGCTTTTTAAGTCATAGCCATCCTCATAGGGGAGAATTGGCAACTCATTGTGATCTTGATTTGCATTTCCCTACTAACTTTCAATGTACTTATTAGCTACTAGAGGCCCAGTGCCTGAATTTGTGCACTGGTGGGGGTCCATGTCCTGGCCTATGGGATCAGGCTGAAACCAGCTCTCTGACATCCCATGAGGGATCCCAGATTGCAAGAGGGTGCAGGCCAGGCCAAGGGACCCCACCAGTGCACAATCAGGGCTGGCACACGAGAGGTTGGCCAGCAAAGAAGGGACTATGGGAGGGCTCCTGAGCTTGTCCTGCCTGCTTCACTCTGTCTTGATCAGCTGGACCCCAGCTGCAAGCTGACCTACTGATTGGAGCATCTTCCCCCTGGTGGTCAGTGCACATCATAGCGAGTGGTTGAGCGGCCTTAGCTTATCATTAGCATATTACTCTTCGATTGGTTGAACAGCCGACCGGACACTTGGCATATTAGGTTTTTATTATATAGGATTTGTATATTTCCTTTAGAAAAATGTCTATTGTAATAGCCTATTTTTTAAATCTTCACTTGAGGATATGTTCTTTAATTTTAGAAAAAGAAAAGAGTAAGAAAGAAACATCGATTGGTTGCCTCTCAGATGCACACTGACTGCGACTGAACCTGCAACTTAGGTATGTGCCCTGATCAGGAATCAAACCTATGACCTTTCAGTGTATCAGACAAATCTCCAACCAACTGAGCTACACCAGCCAGGGCTGTAATTGCCTATTTTGAAACTGGGTTATTCATCTTTTTATTATTGAATTTAGAATTTTTAATATTCTAGATATGTCTTTTATCAGATATATAACTTGAAAATATTTTATTTCATCCTATGGGTTGTCCTTTCATTTTTTTCATGATGTCCTTTGAAACACTAAGTTTTTAAATTTTGATGAAATCAATTCTTTATCACTCGTGCTCTTGGTGTTGTATTTAACAAATCATTGCCTAACCCAAGGTCACAAAGACTGACTCCCACGTTTACTTCTAAAAGTCTTATAGCTTTAACTCCTACATTTAGGTCTATGGTCCATTTTGATTTAATTTTTATGTATATATTTGATAGACATCCACATTCTTTTGCATGTGGATACGCAGTCTTCCTACACCATTTGTTGAAAAGACGATTCTTTCCTATTGAACACTCTTGGCCTCTTTGTCAAAAATCAAATGCCTAAAGCCAGTTAGAATTTATTTATGGATTTTTAATTTTGTCCCATCAATCTGTATGCCTATCCTTATGCCAGTACCACCCAGTCTTGATTAATGTAGTTTTTTAGTAAGCTTTGAAACCAACTTTGTTCTTTTTCAATATCACCTGGCTATTCTGAGTCACTTTCTTTCCAAATGAATTTTAGGATCAGCAGAAACAGACAAACTGATCTTCAAATTCATTAAGAAACCCCCTACTTTTAATAAGTGATTAAAATTTTTCCTTTCATATTAGGGATGAAATGGATAAGGAAGACGGAGCAAGTAGACTCTTGAGTGTGGAAAGCCGTTGGGAGGAGGGGGGGGGGGGACCATCCTGCTGCTGGAGGAGGAAAATAAAGGAGCCCAGAGTTTGGTGAACTTCCCACCCTAGTGAGAGGAATGTTTGTGCAGGGGAGGCAGTTTAATCTAGCACCAGGGGACATTGTGAAAGATAATTGAAATTGTTAAATCCATTGATCTCCCCAGAAGGAATAAAGGTCTCTAAGTAAGCAGTATTGTTAGTTTGTTGATTCTTACCAAAGAATAACTAAAGGGAAGCAGCTGGCCCTTTCTCAGGGCTGTAACACAAGAAAAAAAATGAAGAAATTCCTCCTTGTCTTTTCTTACCTCTCTCTGTGGCCAGCCCTAACCTTTGTTCATCTTTGTTACCCTGCGCCTTTATAAATTCCCCAAAAGGAGAGGGAGGAGTAAGAGGGGAAAAAAGAAAATCCTAGTGTGTGAGAGATTCTGGGGGTAGTAGAGGAATTCTGGAGAATTTAAAATAAAAGATCTTTAAGGTACTGTTGGTACATTCTACCATTATGTCGCAAGAGGTGTAAAGATGATCACATTCTTTGACTCAGTAATCCTACTCCTAAGAGTTTATCCTAAGGAAAGAAGACATGCAAAAGCAAGAGTGGCCGCGATAATGAGCATGTTATCTGTAATAGCACCGGCGGGAACAACCTATATCTCTAAAATAAATGTTTTATGACATCATGACATGCAAAGAGGGTAGATTACCCTGCTGGCTCCACTGTCAAAATACGCCCTGAATTGCGTCACTTTTCACTACATTCTCTACTGCCTCGGGTCCAAGTCACATCATCTCTCATCTGAATTGCAATGGCCTCCCAACCGGTCTTTCGGCTTCCACCCTTGTTCCCCACCCCCCTACTCTACTTTCAACACCGCAGTCATTGGAACCATTTAGGATTTTTTATTATTATTATTTATTCATTTTGTCAAATACAACTGATATTGGAACCACTGAGAACATTAAAACATGTTCATTCAAAATCTTCCCTGGCTCCACTCTCATCCTACATAATAAAAGGGTAATATGCAAATTGGCCCTACTGGCAGAACAACCAGAACGACTGCTGGACCAGTCACTATGAGGCACACTGACCATCTCTTGGTCCCTTTCCCCAACCGGCAGGCTCTGATCACCTGATGGCGAATGGGGAACTGGGGGTGGGTGGCAGCTGGGGGCGGGACAGGCTGTGGGGAGCTAGGAAAGATGGCCCTGATAGCAGGCCAGGCCTAGGGACTGTACCCATGCACGAATTTCATGCACTGGGCCTCTAATTTAGAATAAAAGCTGAAATCTTTGGTTGGTCTCAGGCACCACCTCACTGGACCTCTATTACTCCCTGGCCCCATCTTGTACTACTTTTCCTCTTGCATACTCCACTCTGGCCACACCGGCCTCTTAATTGTTACATGGACACACCAGGTCTTCTCCTGCCTCAGGACTTTGAACTCACTTCCCTCTTCTCCTAGATGTCCATTTGGCTCTTTCCCTCTTCCCCTTACATATCTCAGGTGAGCT